TGTCTAAATTATAATATGTAAACATTTAAATAACGTCTTGCTCTTTAGTTATTTGGGTTTTGGACTTTTGGGCCTATTACAATATTTGGACGTCACAGAGTTGCCATCTGTATCTTCTTCTTTCCTCACCGGAGCTCTAGGTGGACGGCGACCAAGGCCAGCCAAAACGATGGGAAGCATTTCGTTCGTTTCGAAGATACGTAGGCAAACGGATTACAATACTTTCTCACCTTCGATTCCCATTGTTATCGATAATGGTGCCTCCTACTTCCGTATCGGGTACTTTTATGTCATAAACCCTAAATTCCTTCTTCTCGGTAGCTCAGTTTCACTTTTGGTTTTGGTATGTATGATCCTATTTTGAGATTCTCTTGGGTTTCAGGTGGGCAGGAGAAACTGAGCCTCGTCTTATATTCCGTAATATCGTGCAAAGACCACGCCACAAAGCTACAGGTCTTGATTTATGTGCATTCTTCCAAATTTATTGGTGTTTTAGTGTTTGTATGCCTCTTAATTGCTTCATTTGCTGGTTTGCTGCTAGTGTAATCAATGAGTCTAATGACATGTTTCAAATTTGCTTCATTTTCGTGATCGTAATAAACTTATAATGAATTGGATTAGAAGTTCTGAGTCTCTTTAGCTGCGATTTTAGAGGTATATGACTATGCTTATTCTGCTTAAAGTTATTTTGTTACTGCCTTGTATTTATATCTAATCTATGTGTTTGTCTCCATGTGTAATGTTGTATGGATATGGTCTTCTTTTTAGTACAGGTGAAACTGTTACTATAGTTGGCGACCTGGATCCTGCGCTGATGAAGTACTTTGATTGCACTCGTTCAGGACCGCGTTCACCTTTTGACAGCAATGTGGTTTATCAGTTCGAGATGATGGAATATGTATGGATTCTAAACTTGTTCATTTAATAGCAAATTGTGTTGTTTGTATGATTTGTAAGTTCTTTTTTCCACGAATTTCTTGCTCCCATCATGTCTTTTTGTAAGCTTATGGTCTTTACCAGTTTAGTATTCGGTTTGGCTTGTTTACCTGTTATCTCTTATTCCAAGTTTTTTGATGTTTCTATTGCTGTTCGGGTTTGGTAGACTCCATATGTTTGATCAAACTTCAATCTATAACTCTGAGATATTCCCTCCTGCATTTGTACTTATTAGTTATTGCAATCACTGAAGAACCTGTGGTACTTATCTATTTGATTTGCCTTGGTTTCTAGATTCTTGACTTCGCCTTTGACCGTTTGGGTGCTGATGGATCAGTGGTATGTCCTAGATCTTTTTCTTTTCATCTTGATTTTACTTTCATTGACTGCCTTGTCAGAGTTTTGTCTCTTGATTTGACGTCATTTGATGGCAGGGCAGATTGATCATCCAATCCTAATAACAGAATGTGCTTGCAACCCAGTTCAATCTCGTAGCAAAATGGCAGAACTGCTATTTGAGACTTATGGAGTGCCTGCAGTTGGTATGAATCTGAATTATTTGTTTTGTTTCTGATATAATGATTATGGCTTCTTTTGTGTGTTGTTTCATTATAAATTTATCTACTCTCACGTTTTCACAGCATTTGGAGTGGATGCTGCTTTCAGCTACAAGTACAATCAGCTACATGGAATTTGTAAAAAAGATGGAATAGTTGTCTGTCCTGGCTTCACTACAATGCACACCATTCCGGTATGTATCTGTGACTACATTGGATGAGTGTTTGCATCAACCATGTTCATTTTCTGACTTAAACCCATTCCTTTCCGGAAAATACTCAGCCTTTGGTATGATAATGCTTATCTGTCTCATTGGTTACAGTTTGTCGATGGAGAACCTGTTTATAAAGGATCCTGCCGAACTAACATTGGTGGATATCATGTCACTGATTATTTAAAGCAGCTTCTATCACTTAAGTACCCTTTTCATTCGTGAGTTCTTGCACTGGATCTATCTTCTCAATGTGATTTTCCAAATTTCACGTTTTGATTTTTTTTTCTCGCCATGTTCAACTTCACAAAAGGTCTAGGTTTACGTGGGAGAAGGCCGAAGATTTGAAACTGGAACACTGTTATATCGCTCCTGACTATGCTATTGAAGTTCGGAAATTCCAGGTAATTTGATTATTAATTTCTCTCGTTTCCTTTCTTAGGCAGTTTGTGATGGTAGTAAACTAAAATCACATGATCATCATTGATCAGGAAGGAACAAAAGAAGCTGAAGAGAAAACAAGGTATTGGCAGCTTCCATGGATACCTCCTCCCATCGAAGTTCCTCCATCAGAAGAAGAGATTGCAAGGAAGGCAGCTATAAGAGAAAAACAAGGTCAAAGGCTGCGAGAAATGGCTGAAGCAAAGAGATCATCAAGGATAAACGAAATGGAAAACGAACTCCAGAGCTTGCATTTCCTTGTGAAGCAACTTGACCAGGTTGAAGAGGATGAGATTCCATCCTTTTTGTCAGACACCGGTTATGCGTCCAGGCAAGAGCTAGAATCTACTGTTTCCAAAGTGACACAGTCGCTTAGAAAAGCAAGGGGCGAACCGAAGAATGAACCAGCTGAGAGCGAAGAGAATACTGATTCTTTTAATAACGATAAGTATCCTCTTATTATTGTCCCCGACGATATGCTTACATCTGAGCAGGTTTGTTTCCAAAACACTGAGAAATCCTATACTGATATGAGAATCTGGTTTAATCTCATATTTTTTCCATTGGCTGCTTGCAGCTGAAGGAGAAGAAGAAGCAGATATTTCTTAAAACAACAACAGAAGGCCGGCTACGAGCTAGACAAAAGCGTAACGAAGAGGAACTCGAAAAAGAGAGAAGAAATCAATTAGAGGAGGAAAGACAGCGGTATGTAATCAGTTCATTTGTTAAATGTTGAAAATATAAAGGGAGCAAAAATAATATTAACATTACTTTTTGTTGTTGTCCTTATCTTCTGGTTGTAGTGAGAACCCAGAGTTTTACTTAGAGGAGATGCGAGCTCAGTACAAGGAAGTGTTGGAAAGAGTTGAGCAAAAGAAACGTGTGAAAACGAATGGTACCAGTACAAACGGGAATAACAAGTCTGGAGGTGTTGGGCGAGGTGAGCGACTAAGTGCTGCTCAGAGAGAGAGAATGCGTCTGCTGACAACGGCAGCCTTTGATAGAGGGAAAGGCGAGGATACGTTTGGTTCTAGAGATGAAGATTGGCAGCTTTACAAACGTATGAGTAAGGATCATGACGAAGATGACGAGCAACCTGATTCAGACGAGGCTGAGTTGGCTCGTTTATCATCCAAACTTCAGGAAATCGACCCAACATTTGTGCAGAAAGCAGAGGGAGAATCGATTCAGCCATCGGGGGAGGCACCACGTGTTCGGCCATTGACCGAAGAAGACTACAAGATAGTGATTGGTATTGAAAGATTCCGGTGTCCTGAGATCATGTTCCATCCAAACCTTATTGGCATTGACCAAGTGGGGTTAGACGAGATGGGCGGTGCATCGATCAAAAGGCTACCACACAGTGATAGCGAGCTAGAGGAGAGGCTAACGAGCTCGATACTGATGACAGGTGGATGCAGCCTTGTCCCGGGGATGAAAGAGCGGTTAGAAAGCGGGATTCGGATGCTAAGACCATGTGGGTCGCTCATACACGTGATCCAAGCCGTAGATCCAGTACTGGATGCGTGGCGTGGAGCATCTGCATTTGCTGCTAATTTGAACTTCTTGGGGAATGCCTTTACCAAGATGGATTACTACGAGAAAGGTGAAGATTGGCTTCGAAGATACCAAATTCGTTACAACAATCTGTGATTCCTTTGTTAAGATAAAACACAACTTTTTATTATCTAATTTAAAAAAACAAAAAAAAACTTGATTACTGTAACTTGATATTTTGGGAAATTACCAGAAAAATTCAAAATTATATTTTGTTATATAGTCCATTTCAGATATCAATAGCCCAACCCAGAATATAGCCCAATTTGACTACAAGTGAGAACCCTAGCTTTCTCATTTTCGAATCTCGAGCTTGGTTTCTTTCTTCTGGATCGAAATCGTGCTCTGTAATAGCCATGTCTAGTCTCAGAAGAGCTTTGCTCGTCGCAGGGAAGACGAAGATCAATCTCGAGAATTGCCATTTCATCACCGGAATCAACTACAACGGTCTCAGCATCAAGCAACTACAAGAGCTCCGAGGAATCCTCCGAGAAAACACAAACACGAAGCTCCTCGTCGCGAAGAACACTCTGGTCTTCAAAGCTTTAGAAGGAACCAAATGGGAATCTCTGAAGCCATGTATGAAGGGTATGAATGCTTGGCTCTTTGTCCAGACCGAAGATATCCCTAATGCTCTAAAGACATTCCTCAGTTTCCAGAAAGAGAAGAAGCTCTTCGACAATAACTTAGGTGGTGCTGTCTTCGAAGAAAAACTGTATGCTCCTCAAGATTACAAGGTTATTGAGACGATGCCATCTCGATCCGATGCTTATGGTATGATGCTTGGTTCTTTGCATTGGCCGGCTTTAGATCTCGTCAATATATTGCAGGCACCAACCGTGTCGGAAAATGACAGTGGTGCATCAGCGGCGTCTGAAAACGAGAGTGGTGCATAAAGCCATTTCCTAATTTCTTGATCGAAAATGCTTCAATTGCTTCTATTATTATCAGTGAACTGATGAATATCCCCCTTTTGTGTTTGTGCTTTGGACCAAAACAAGTATTCTATCAAAAAAAATAATTTTTTCAGACCAGTGTTTCTGGTTTTGTTGCAGTGTATTGAGTTTCTGTTAAAGAAAAATCTTATACTGTTGTTTGTTAGAAGAGAATTGGCTGATCCAATGGTGGAATAATTACATGTTGTAGACTTGAAATCCTCTTTTGCAGCCACCCTGATGAGTGTTTACAGCAGAATCCAACAAGTTTGCATGTAAACTTTTCTAAAATCAAGACTTGCTTGAAATGTTCTTTGTAATACCTGGAAACTCCTGGCTACCAATTTGGTTTCTTTATAGCTACTAATACTGAATTGTTGCCTCAATCTCTTTGCTAACAATTTGGTTATGTGCATGACAACCTTCACTTCCACAATGACTTCACTTCGAGCTGCAAGTTCCGCGTTGTCTTTTACTTAATTGTAGATATCTTATTCCATGGTTGTTTTGCCACTCCTTGTGAACAATGACATCTTCAAATGATAAATACCCTTTTAATCCCAAAACAGCAAAGCCTCGCATGATTCTGTGGTTTTTGGATCATACCCGGAATATAGTACGCGATTATACATTTTTCTCTGTAAATTGCGCTGCGACTACTCTCCTCTCTCAATCTAAGTTAAATAGTATCGTGGCTGTGTGTAATCCTCCTTTATTTTGACAACTTTCTTTCCTCGCGAAGCAAAGGTAAGCAGCTTCAAATCTTGGTTCAAAATCAGCAGCATCAAACCTAAGAGATGATCACATATGCTTATAAGAGCCTCAGAGGTGTATAGATCAAACTGATTCGATCAAGAATACAAATGATTCCACAAGAAATAAAACGAACCCTCTATCATATGCACACCATTCTGATGATCCTTTGTTTCTAAAGACAATGGTTAACTGAATTTTTGGAACATATTGAGTTGAGCAGTGTTTACACTTTATATAGTTGCGACATTTGTGTTTGCCTTTTGATGTATAGGCTTTATACACAAAATCGTCTAGTCTAGCTGCTCTCTTCACCAAATACAATATATTTACATGATTTTCTTTTTATGCATCTCATATTGCAAAAATGGGATCGACTTCCGAGTTAGAGAAATCTGAATGATGCCATGAGTTGGAACCGCTCCTACGCGCACTCTTAACCCTCTTCCTCATCGACCTTGTCCTCTTCGACTTCACCACGTAATAAGTCATGGTTCCAAGAACACCAGCCATTATCACACCCCCAACCACCGTCACCAGCTCAGCCGCCCACACGTTCTTACGCCCAACCACTATGTATGACGATGCAAGAAACGCCACAGATGTACACATAGATGCCAACCACATCAGTTTGTTGATCACCTCCACTACCCTCTTCTCAGCTTTTGTCTCTCCTCTCACCAATGTGATCTGGACCACCACGACTGCCAGAGAAGTAAACAATGCGATTGCGTTGAAGATGAAGAAGATCTTGAATGATGCTCGGCCCACCACCACTGCTGATCCGTCGTTGTTGTCTCCTCCTGGCACTGTGAATATAGCAGCAAAAGCTACAGTTGCAAACAATACAGCCACAACAGTTACTGAATTGGTTGCATTATTGATCCCTTCTCTGTGGAGTTTCCTGAGTTCTTTGGAAATGTTGTGCACGTTTTTGTTCGTCCTTTTGGTCTGTTCCAGCTGGATATGAACATCGTTCTTGATTTGGGTTACAGTGCTTCTCAGCTCGTCCCTTGGCTGGTTCAGCTCATTCGCCCTAAGAGCCCCACAACGAGCAAGAGACTCTTTTATGTATGAAGATTCTTCTGAGAGTGGAAGTCCCTCTGCTATGTCAAGTGCTGTCTTGCGTTCCCGGGTTAAAGCATTGGCATTGGTATCAGGCAGTGACAACAATAGTTCTACAATCTGCAATAAAATATCAAATTGTGAAGATCCAATAAAAAAAATTCTCGAAATGAAGGGCCGAGAGAAAACAAAACACAGAGAATCACACCCTCAGGATGCATACCTCTGCTCGCTTTTTCCTGGTGGCTACATGTAAAGCAGTGTTACAAGACTTGTCCGGTAGCATAACAATGGCAGGATCTGCATCGAGCAGCAGCTTCACCACTTCGGAGCTCTGTCCTTTTACAGCCATATGAAGTGCTGTTTGTCCTTTCTTGTCAACCCTTCTTGCTAGCTGAGGATCCTTGACCAACAGAGCTTTGATGACCTCCACATGCCCTTGCCTCGCAGCTAGATGCAAGGCATTTTTATTGTTAGACCGAGAAATATCTAGCAAATTCCCAGCTTTGGATAAGAGCTGGTTCACAACTTCTGTATGGCCTCTCATAGCTGCAGACACAAGCGGAGTTGCATTTGATGGCCCAAATGTATGGCTAAGCGTTGAATCATGATCTAGCAAGACCTCAACAATCGCTGCAAGAAACAACCATATCTTATTCACCGAGTTACATAAAAGAAGAAACAAAGAGTAGAAGTTTGTAAGACTTCTTCATTTGATCTAAAAAGCCGACCCAAATGTTGAGGAGCATTACCATGATGACCTTGTATGGCAGCGATATGAAGCGGATCATATCCAGAACGATTCTTCTTAGCAATGCTCTCTCTACTCGAATACTTCAACAGCTCTTTGACAACATCGAGATGGCCTTTGTCTGCAGCAGTAAAGAGCGCAGTCTCCCCCAACTCATTCACCTCGTTAACAATCGATGCTCGGATCTCTGCGACTTCAGCTTCAAATTCTTCCCCACTCAGAATCCCTTCCATCTGAGAGTTAATATCCTTAAGAATCTGCTGCACAGCTGCCAAATCACCCCGTTGAGCCGCTAAGTGCAGCTCAGTATCGTTATGGCGACCCGTAACTTGCTTCACATACTTTTTCTTCCCAGCTTGATCCATTCTCTTCCCTGAATTAGACAAAACCAAA